GGTAAGATTCGAAGGCGCTTCTCGATTCGGATTCGGCTGCTGCTTCTGATTTTTCCGGATCGAGCAATTGATGCTGTTGCGAATCGATTTGAGACGAGGCTTTCTTCTTCTCGTCTTCCATAGCTTCGGAATCTGCTTCGCGGCCGGAACAGAGAAGCGGGAGATTCTCATAGAGCGGAGAGAGAGAGAGAGATGACGTGGGGGAAAGGGGAGGAGAGAGGGAAATATATAATTATATTTAAGTTTTTGTTATTATATTTAATTCATTAATTATTTATTTATTTATTTGTGTGGTTATATATATTAAAATAATCTGTGGAGTTTCTGGATTATATGAGATATCTCGCTGTGAGACGAAAGTAAAGTCAGAAGTGGGGCCCAATGGGAGCAGTGTCCACATTGAAGTTGCCACGTGTATATCTTCTTTGTTGCAGTTGAGCCACTGCTTGAAGGTGCACAGTAATATCCACGTGGCGCTTAGCTGGCTGATTGTCGACGACTGTGGCTGAAGCTGATTGGTTGATTACTATTTAAAATATCATCTAGTATGACTTTTCTTTTTCTTTTTTTTTTACTTTTTTTTTTATGGAAATTTCAACCCCAACTTTAATGGTAAATGATGTGAAGCTCGTGTTGATATAAATAGAGACAGCTTTGGGTCTATTTTAATATGTTTTCATTTTTTGTTTCAAAATGTTGATGGAGGTAAACCTTTTATAGCTATTTTTATTTGTCATTTTTCATTTTTAAAAAACTTTTTTAGTTTATGTATAGATATTGAAAATAATTAATTAATGACTCGTTTAGTAATGTTTTCATTTATTTTTTTTTCAAGTTTTCGTCTAACTATTTAATATTTCTCATTTCTTAATTTTAAGAATTTGTTTCTTGAATTGTATAGAAATATTTTAAATAACAAAATTGTATTTATTGTTCTAGCTCATGTTTCCAGTTTTTTCAAAATAAAAAATAAAAGAACTATTTTGTTATTTGCATAGTAGATATTAAGAAAGATTATAAGATAAAATTGTAAATATTTAACTTAAAAACTTATTTTTCATTAAATTTTTAATTTTAAAATTTAAAATGCTTGCTGAAAAAACAATAAATTATTACTTAGTGTAAATAATATTAATAATAATAAGCAATTGTCAAACTTAATTATATTTTTAGTTGCTAAAAAAGATGAAAAAAAAATAAACTTAAAACATACCTAATAAATAATAAACAATAAACGAAAATATTACCAAACGAATTTTAAATTCTTTGCTTTTCCAATTTCTATATATTTTTTTGTAGATATAGGTCAAAATATTATTTTATCATTTTTTATTTAAAATACATGTATAAAAAATAAATATTACATAAAAGTTTGAGTATTTAATTTGAAAATTTATATCTCAGATAAAACTTTGTACTTACTTTAATCTAATATTTTAGTCAACAATAAATAATAAATGGTCTTTTTTTTCTTTGATAAAACAATAAACAAACCATGAATAATTTTCAAATGGAGTTATCTTTTTATTTAAAATGAACAAATGATAAACAATAAACATGAAACATAAATGTTACTGAACACGTTTTGTTTTTTGTTTTCTTTATATATTTATTATTACTATATTAAAAGGTAAATGTAATAATTATTGTTGACTAGACAAGAAATATTACTCGATTTTGAAGGGGTGAGAAATAGTTTTGAAACGATGAGTTTTTTAAGTAGATAAAATAACATTTAAATTAATATATAAATTTATTATGATATATATTATTACATAAAAATGGAACATTTAATTTGAAAAATTATATTTCATATAAAACTTTTATGTTTTTAAGCTAATATGGTGAACAATAAATATTAAATGTCCATTTACTTTTTCATAAAACAATAAACAAGAAGGAACAACTACTAAATAGAGTTGTGCTTTTTATTTAAAATGAAAAATCGATAACAATAAATAGAAAATAAAAAATGATAAATAATAAACACCATTATCGAACACCCTTTATTTTTATTTTTCTTTATATATATTTATTATTACTATATTAAAATGTAAATGTAATAATCATTTTCTGACCGGCCTAGAAATATTAGTCGAATTTTGAAGATTTGAGAAATAGTTTTGAACATGATGTGTTTTTTTAAGTATAATAACATTTAAATTAATATATAAATTTATTAGGATATTTGAAAAATTATATTCCATATAAAACTTTGTACTTTTTTTTTAATCTAAAATATTAGTGAGCAATATAAATAATAAATGTCTATTTACTTTTTAATAAAACAATAAACAATAAGGAACAACCGCCGAATGGAGTTATGTTTTACTTTAAAATGAAGAAATAATAAATAATAAATAGAAATGGAAAAAGATAAATAATAAACACCAAACAAGAATGTATGAACGCCCTTTGTTTTTTTTTCCTTTATTTGATTATTACTACTCTATTAGTAGGTAAATGTAATAATCAGTTTTACTTGGCTACAAATATTATGAAATTTTGAAGGTTCGAGAAACAGTTTTGAAAATGATGTGTTTTTAAGTAGACAAAAAAACATTTAAAATAATATATAAATTTATTAGGGTATATCTTTATCTTTTTAATTTTAAAAAATAAATATAACATATTTTGATAAATTATACAAAATGTTACTAACATTTGTGTTTAATTTCAAATTTGCCCTTCATATTTTTGTAGTCTCAATTTCATCCCTGAATCTCTTAATTGATTCCATAAAAATAATTTATTAACTATTTAATATACGGTAAAATTTGACACTTAATTTTGGTGAAAATTTTTATGCTAAGACTAAATTATTACGTATTTAGTTTAATAATTAATTTGTTATCCATTTGAAAATATCATGATTAAATCGTTATAAAATAAAATTCAAAAACATCAGCAAAGTCAAAAATAAAAGACGGATATATCTCGGAGCATAACTAGAAACATCGGGAGATTATGTTGCATCATAAAAAATTAGAGAGGCGAACATTAAAGTTGGCTGCAGTATCATTCAAGATAAAATTGACATTAACACCCTATAATCGAAAGCAATTTGCAGAGGACTATAATATATCACCATAGAAGATCACACTCACATCCATCTAGAATCGGATTCCGTTCAAGCAATACATCTTCTAAAGAGACAAGATTTAGATCTTATAGAAATCATATGGACCGTTGAGGAAGCTCTTCTTCTTGTAGAGGAGAAGAAAGTTGTGTCGTTCAAGCATGTTTGCATGGATCAAAATCAAGCGGGAAGGACAAAGCAATAAATGAAGGAATTTCGTCTGATTGGTTCCATTTTACTCCTCTTTGGCTTTTTGATGTAATCCACAGTGAACTGAAGTCTGTTTATTCTTATTTCATTACTTTCTTTCTTTAAAAAAAAAAAGATTAAATCATTATTTTAGTGAAAATGAAAGAATCAAATGTGATTTTTAATAAAAAATAAAAAATAAAAATCAACCATACCATACTCGAACTTCTGGTTCCAGAAAGGACTCGATTGAAATTGGGGCCAAACTAGAACGACAATTTTGTAATTTAGCCTAAAAAAACACAAACATTATAGAAAATAGCATTAATTCGTGATCGAGGGAGGCGAAGAAGGGAAATGGCCACAGGAAAGTGCCAACTGCCGATTAACAATTCGTTGACGGTTCATCCTTATACTTCCCCAGTTCCCCCTCCCACCATTCACAGCTTGAATTCCGAATTCTCGCCATCTCTTCGGTTCCCACTGTTTAGCCGATGTCGACTTCTTGGTCTTCTTCGTCTCCGGCGGTGTTTGCGATCTCCTCCGTCGAATTGAAGCCAAGCAGTACCAAGTGCATAGCCCCCTTCAGAATCGGCTCTTCTTTTTCTCGACGTTCCTTCTCTACACGCCCTTTGATTTCGAGGTATGGGTTCATGTTAGTGGTTCTTGAACAGCGGGAGTGTCAAAGATTGTCATAACTTGTGTTTGTTTAGATGTCTCCGAGTGAGCGAAGAAGGGTTTTGGACTGATTTCTGGAACTGGGTTGTCGTTAGGTTTTAGGGAATTTGGGGCTCTGTAGACTAAGCGCAATCTCATTTTATTTCTTTGGTTTTTTGTTGACGTGGTTAAGAAATTTCTTTGATGCAATCATTTGCATCAATTTTATTGTCTCATCAACTGTAATTGGTGATCTAGAAAATCGTGTCGTGTGCTGGCAACAGTTCTGAAGGAAGATGAGCCAAAAGTTGTTGTGGAGGAATCATGCCCTCCCAAGGCTGTCGATGGAGGGGAAGGAGTCAGTAAGGAAGGACCAGAAAGTTCATCCTCTAACGGATTGGATAAATGGGTTATTAAGTTTGAACAATCTGTTAATATTTTTCTCACGGTAAACTCAGCTGATTCGAATTTCGACTATCATGTTGAAGAGAACTGATTACGTTGAACAAACTGCATGCTCTTTGTTTGTGCACTATCGGTTCTGCAGTAATTGATCTGTTTTATCATGACTCCTTTTTACTAATCTTTCCAGGATTCAGTAATAAGAATTCTTGACGCATTTTACCACGACAGAGCTTATGCGAGGTTCTTTGTGTTGGAGACTATTGCAAGGGTTCCCTATTTTGGTGAGGTTTTAAGATACCTTGAGCTTGATTTTACTTCAAGCCTAGCCAATGTTAGAAACTTTCTTTTCGAGTTGCTACACGCTCTAACAAGTTGCAAGAATTAGTGCCTGTGAAGGTCCAAACAGGACATGTGCCTTGTTTGCTTCCTGGAAACATAGCTAATCTATAATAATCTTTAATTTTCTAGGACTTCTGTTCTCGTTTCTGGCTAAGTCTGTAATTTAAATGCAGTTTTACAGGTTATAAAAATAATTTAATGACTCCTAACGTAGAACATTTTCATTCACTGAAATTGAGTTCTCTCCTAAATATGCAGATAGATGTTCAATTTAAAAGAATTGATCTTACAGATAATTTTAATTTTGGAGCCAGATTGTACAGCTCCTGTGGATTTTATTTGAGGTTGAGGATGTTAGTATATAGTTTGTAATTGTTTTTAACACCTCCCTTTAAATTGCAGCATTTCTGTCGGTTCTGCATATGTATGAAAGTTTTGGTTGGTGGAGAAGAGCTGATTATCTGAAAGTTCATTTTGCTGAAAGCTGGAATGAGATGCACCACTTGTTAATCATGGAGGTAAAATATTATCTTGGGCTTCCTTTAAACTGCACATAATATCCTTCTCCTTATGTTGCCCCTAGGAGATTTCATGATTTCATCCTGATTATAGTTAGCAGTATTCCATTTTTGGTTTGTCCCAGCATGTTGCAGGCCTGTATTGATGATAGATGAAGGCTGACATAAGAATTTACTATTTCCTACAAGATTTTCCTTTTCAATCATCTCTATGAATTATTTAAGTTTGTGCACCCATTTGGAGATTGAATTATTGAATTAATGCACTTTTCTGACTTGAGTGCAGGAATTGGGGGGTAATGATTGGTGGTTCGATCGCTTTCTTGCTCAACATATTGCTGTTGCATATTATTTTATGACAGTATTTATGTACATGGTTAGCCCAAGAATGGCATGTAAGTATCGAAGCTGTAAACTTACAGCCGCATATACTCTCTTTCTCGCATCATGTTTTGCTCCTGTTCAGTTCACTTTTGAAACTGTAATAACTTACGAAGTAAACAGAAAACTGGCATGGCTTTCCTACTTTGTAAAACTAAGAAAGGCATTGAAAAAAATTCCCCGTTTGGCATCAGTTCTTGCGTACATCAATATAAAGTGGCTAGTTACTTCGGGACACCTTTATGCTTCTGCTATGCTTTAACATCTTCAAGTTTTTTGCATTGAACTTTTAATGACATCTTTCTCTATGGATATTGTTCTTACTGCAGATCACTTTTCTGAATGTGTTGAAAGCCACGCATTTTCAACTTATGATAAATTTATAAAAGCCCAAGGAGGTATGTTGGTTGCAGTGGATGTTACTGATCTTGATTTTCCTCTAGTTACCATTGTATTTCGAATGAGAATATCGTTCTGATGTGTTCCATTCCTTGTGTTTATCCATAGAGGAGTTGAAAAAATTGCCTGCTCCTGAGGTTGCTGTGAAATATTATACTGAAGGAGATTTATACCTATTTGGTAATTTCCACCTTTCTAACCACACGCACAGTTCTTTCTGTTCAAACTGGCATTAACAAATTGATTTCATGCAGATGAGTTTCAAACTTCCAGAGCTCCCAAATCACGAAGACCAAAAATAGGTAAATTTTGAAATATTCTTAAGTTGCTGTGGTTCATAGTCCAATATATCATAATATAAAACAGCCATGAAGGCATGTCTTAAACAAGAAGATTTTCTTTTTCCAAAAAAATGGTTGGAAAAAATAGGAGAAGTGTAGAAGCTCGCAGCGCATGTATTTGATTCTTTTTCTTTTCTTTTTATCTTTATAGCCTAGGAAGTTTTAAACTCCTTTCAGTTTAYTAAGCGAGCTTTTAAATTACTGGGAGATTCTATAATACGTAATAGTTGATGTAGATGCAAGTCGGTCCCGTTGGATCTGTTGCATGTGTTAGAAAGTAATATAAATTTACATGCACCCCAGAAATTGATAAATGAAGGGATAAACTTTTCAAGTCAACCCCTATAAACATAGAAATGTTATTAGAATAGAACTATAAATGTTATTAGGGTATTAAGAGTATATTAGGAATTAAACAAGGAAGTTGTTAGGGAGATTTGTTATAGAAATAGAGTGAGCAAGAAATGATTGAGGTAGGCTATTATTGTTTAGTGTGGTCTACACGTAAGTAAGAATACTTGAGAGAGGAGAAAGTCCAAGTCTCTCGAATTAATTGATATTTATTGTTGTTCTTTTATCTTTCCATCTATTTCATTTGTTTGGGTTCTATCAACGCATTGTAGCAGAGATGTATTTTATAAGATAACCTCATTAAAATTCTTTACCATTTTCTTGTTATCTAGAGAGCTTGTACGATGTATTCTTGAACATAAGAGACGACGAAGCCGAGCACTGCAAGACCATGAGAGCCTGTCAATCGCACGGGAATCTGCGGTCCCCACATTCTTATTCAGAGAGCTCTCCTGAAGACGACGAGCCACTCTGCAACCTTCCTGAAGCAGACTGTGAAGGCATTGTAGACTGTATAAAGAAAGCTGTCACTACTTCCCCTCCGGTAAAGCAAAAATTATGATATATATGTACAAATATCACATAGAAAGAACATGTAGTTTCACTAGATTCACACATAGCAAACATCTCTCACACCTTCATATAAGAGAAGGTATCCAAGGTCCATAAATAGGTTGATTATCTTTGTAATACGAGGATTATGCGAATTATAAAGAAGTTCGAGTGTTATTTGTAGCGATGCCAAAGAAAATAAAACCATAGTTTTCTTTGAGCTTTGAGAATTCTCTGATAAATTAGGTGAGAAAAAGTCTCCTTGAATATATCTTTGTCCCTTCATAATTCCTGTAGTTCTTTTTATTTAGCTTTGTTTGGAACTTCTTTGTTTGAACTTCGTTTTAAGCCATTCAATATGTATTGAACTTTCTGTTTGGAATTCTATCTTTGGACACAAAAATAATCATTGTAATGGAGGAGTAGTTATCAAAATATTAGGTATGATTGAAGGTTGTAAACTGATCATCTTAAAGTATGATGAGTCAGTAGGATGAATGAAACAAACTTGCTTTTTGGGATGAGTCGTGGAGCAGATTGTTTAGTTGGAATGAGCTATATGTTTAATGAATTCATGAGTCTGTTTAAGTAAAATAATGGGGTGGGTTAAATGTTATTGATCCAAGTGGTTGTTTGTTTAAATTAGTTTAAGTGTGTGTTTGAGAGTTGTTGATGCAGAAATTTGGCTTCTTAGGGTTCCGTCAATATTCGCACCAATATTCTATAATAAAAGGATCAACGAGACCTGCAAAACAGAATAACACTAAGACCAACATGGCTGTTGCCACACAGGCTCTGATGCTTAAGTTAGGAACGAAGTAGTTTAGTATAAAGTGTCAGGTATTGTGAGCATAACAAATAGTAGAGATTTGTAGCATACCTCAAAGTATTTTCCCTCTATTTATCGAGGGGAAAACCTAATAGAGATTTTCTCATATCCATAACAAGAGTGATCTTTGGCTGCAACTTTTTAATGCCAAAACAAAAGGTCGAAGAACCACTGGACCTATTATTGACCTTGTGACCAGGGTAGAGCTAGTTGGAGAGACATTAGCTAGCCTCTATCCGCATCAGTGGTTGATCCGTTAAAATCACTTACATTGCTATTGATTGTGTTTGGCAAATTAAAAAGTTGATTTGAGTAAAGTTTAAAGTCACTTTAAATTGACTTTTAAAGTATCACTTCGATGTTTATTTTGAAAAATAAATTATATATATATATATATATATATAATTTTAAATAACTCGTCTACCCTTACTCTCAAACATTATATGAATTAGAATATTACATTTATTCTATATAGCTTCTATAACTTATATTAATGATATTGATTCATGGCTATTTAGGGGCTATTTAGTCTAAGGTTTGATTACGTCCTTGACAACAAGGTGTTTGAAATTATTAGTACTTTTATTGGAATGATTTTTGTCAAATATATGTGGGCGACAAAGTACTTAAGAAATACGTATATGTTTTTGTTTTGCAAGGCTAACATGTTAACTATAGCTTTTATTTATTTATTTTTCTTTTATTGTAAATTTCCAAAGAAATAATCATACAACAATATCAACAAGGCTAATGATACTCTATAAATAAACAAAACAATGCTAAAGGGAGAAAACATTTATAACAATATTTTAAAAAAATGTATATGTTTTGAATTTTATTGTCGAGTGGTTCCTATATAGATGATGTAGTGGCAATAATCTTGGTCCTTGTCATATCGTTTACCACGAGGTATTGGATTCGAGTTTTGTACAGATCACTGTATTGTTCAGCCAAGACAATTTATTTGTGACGTTAACTTTTACATTTTTGAAACTGAAGTATTATTGGTTAGGTTTACAATTTAAAATAAATGTATTGGTTCACACTAACTTTTTTAATGAAATTTAGTCTCTCTCTCTAGCTCGACTCGAAGGTTGGATGTCACAAGCTTTCTTGAAAATGTTCCCCCTCTCAAGTGAGAGAAAAACTCTCTATTTATGAAGTTTTTCATGTCTTWCGTGGGTCTGAGTTCAGTTAACTTTTGATCGATCGGTTAGATTTGAGCTAATTTGAGCTTTAGATTCGATTGAATTTGAACCCAATTTTTAAACTGATCTTTTCTATCCAACTTTTAATGAATTTTGGATTTTATTTGAGTTTTGACCCAATTTCCACGAGTAGAGTTGAGATTATTTAGCTTTGGACTCGATCATCTTATTTGATTTGCCAATTTTCATATCTTATAATTTAATTAGACAACACGGGTCATTTGTGACCTCACAATTTGCTATTGGTCAAAATTCATTATTAGATTGTTGTTATTAAATTTGTCGGTGTGATGACTAAAAACTAGTTCTTCTATCAACTAATAGATAAATGTCTCTTCCAATAATTTTAAGAAAATCAAAAGTGATTGATTTGATTCACGATTAAATATGTTATTGAGAAGAAAATCATCATCACTGATCGAAAATAGTAAAGGTTTTAAACCTCGATTCCAATGAAAATCTCAAGATATCAATTTCATGGAAATATCGATAAAATACTGACGTGGATGAATATTTATGTAAATGTTAAAGAAATTAAAAAATATCTAAATTAATGGATAAACATTTTTCTATTTTCAAATAAGTTAAAAATTGATTATATATATATATATATTAATACTTGGAAATGAGATTCAAACTGATAATCTCTTGCGATATTATGTATATATTAATGATAATATTTTTCATATTTTGTTAATTTTTTCTAATATGATATAAATTTCAATTTATTACCTCTTAAGTTGATGTCGAATCCATAGATACATAAAAGTATTGATAATGAATATTTAATACCATAAGTAGAATAACTATAATCATGCATGGCCTACGAGAACGATGTTTGATATGTACTAATTTTTTCGAGGCAAGAGGTTTGGTACCCCGTAACCGGTTTTACTTGACACACAAAAAAAAAAAAACCTACAACCATGCATGCATCTAACCAATTGATTTTAATTTTTTAACATATAATATTATTAAAAAAATGGAATTAATGAATGAATTAATAATAATTAATTAATAAAATAAACACAAAGAAATCTCCCGCCTAACGTGGGCAGTTTTGGCCCTCACAAAATATCTGTCCGAAAACAAAAAGCGACGCCAAAGCCAAACGGAACCCAGAGATTTTCATCTTTTGATTCCCTCTTTTTCTTCCTCCGTACGGCATCACCTACCCCTTCCCCTCCCTTCTTTAATCCTCATTCTCTCCTCCTTCAATGGCAGCCACAAGAATTTCTCAGGCTCTGGAGTAGCCGCTCCAAAATATCTTCACACGGAGGAGCAGCAGTTATGGGAGGCGGTTCAATGGCACCTCTGGTTCCTACTGTCAAAACCGAGCCCTCCGCCGCCGACTCCACCGCGCCGCCTCCTCCTCCGCCTCCGCTTCCTCCTCCTCCGCCGCCGCCGCCGGAAGCAATGGCTGCTGAGCTGGAAGCGGGAGAGCTGAATGCGACTGCGTCTGAGGCCAACTCCGAGGATTTGGACAAGGATATGCTGTGCCCCATATGCATGCAGATCATCAAGGACGCGTTCCTCACTACCTGTGGACATAGCTTCTGCTACATGTGTATCGTGACTCACCTTCGGAATAAGAGCGATTGCCCTTGTTGCGGTCACTTCCTCAGGAGCAACAGTATTTTCCCCAATATTTTGCTCGATAAGGTTCGCTGTGCACTGCTCATGATCGATTTTGGAATTCTTTTTGTTGATCGTAATTTGGCCGCTTCAGGAAGTATATAGTATTTGCGGTTGATGGGAAATGTGATTTTCCAATTTTGAATTGTTAGTTTTTAGAGATTTTATTTATGTTTCTCTGATCTCATGTCTGAATTGGCTTGATTATTTATTATAAATTTAAATGGCTCCTGTCATTAAAACAGAGGTTTTGGTATTTTTCAATGTTACTACTCGCAGTCCCGATTTGCTTATATGAATACCAGTTGAAATCACACGTTACTCTAATATTAGTAAAATATGTGTGGGCGACAAAGTACTTAAGATTTGACTCTGGAGAGTAAAACTTTGGTCCCGCTTAAAATGTTGTTGCACTGGAGATCCTTCAGTATTGTAAGAAATCATTGTTTAATGGTATTTTATTTAATAATGAAGCCATTTAATTATGGGTGAAATTTTATTTCTGCCCTTAGATTTTTCTATTCCTTACATTCTTAACGAACAGTTTGGTACCTACCAATGGAAGAGTAGGTGGAAAATGAATGTTTTCATCTATGCAGGAAACCTTTATATTTCTTAATGACAATCATAAATTGAAAATTTGTTTCAACAGTTTTTGATAAATTTTATCCGACTCCTCCTTTTTTGTCCCGATACTTATGTTTATACTTTGAAATAACTACAGTTTGGGTTCCTTCCATTGGGAATTTCGGACCAAATCCTATACTTGTTTGAAAGTACAAAGACTATAATTGCAAGTAGTGGGACTGGCAAAGTATAGGTATCTTTTTTTTTTTCCTTTTTATATCCGTGAGTGTCCAGGCTAGCTTACACGCACCTCGACTAATCTCACAGGAAAACCTGTCCTGAATTACTAATTCCTAAGGTAGGTGACTATCATGGGGTTTGAGCTCATTCTCTCTTAATTAACCGTAGCCTCTTTGGACCAATGAGCCACCCATGATGGTTCGGTAAAGTATAGGTATCGACATAGAATAAGTGGCGAATTACATGATTCAAAATAACATTTTAACATAACATTTGACTAGCAGCTAAGCAATGGCTTCACATTTTGTACCAACATGACAGAAGATCCTAAAATCTTCATTATGCAGTAGTTAAACTTAATGCTAAAATATTGTAAAGCTTTTATATCTAGTATCTGATGCAATAGTAAATTATTCAATTATGCTGATGATACCTTGGCCATTTAATCATTTCAGCTGAATGATCATGCAACAATGCAAAGCAACATGAATTTTTCTGAGAATATTACTATTAAATCAAGGGGCAGGGATTCAAATTTGCAATCTAGAAGGGATGTTAGTAATGCAATTGCAACTATGCACATGTTGACCTAACGTAAACTGACAATTATCATGTATTAAAGGAAATTATTGGACAAGATCTTCTAAATGTTGGGCAAATTGGATATTTTGGCTCTAAAATTTGAGTGATAGTTTGGAAGCTTCATGTTACTCTGAAACCAAAATTTTTTATGGCCCTGTCTCTGACTATATGTTAAGTGACTGTGTCATTATATAATTGCATTCTTGAATTATAACATTGAAATGCATCTTCATGTTTACTTGTGTACCAAATTTTGCAGTTGTTAAAGAAAACTTCTGCTCGTCAGATAAAGAAGACTACATCCCCATTTGGATATCTTCATCAGGCATTACAAAAGGTCAGCATAATTGTGTTACAGTTTTTTTTTTCCTCCAGAATTGTAAGTTACTATTTTAATGTGTTGATTTTAATACGTACTTCCTATTATTAGTCCCCCTCCATGCCTTCATTGTCCTCATTTTACAAGCTGGTTTTTCCTCCTGACCTTTATCAGGGCTGTGACATGTCAATAAAGGAGCTGGAGGAACTTGTAACCCTCCTTGCTGAGAAGAAAAGAAAGATGGAGCAAGAAGAAGCAGAGACAAATATGCAAATTTTACTTGGCTTCTTGTATTGTTTGAGAAAGCAAAAGCTTGAGGAGCTTAATGAGGTCTCTTTTACTTCAATTGTTGTGTTTGTTTCTTGCTTATTAAAGATTGCGTATGAGAAAAACTTTATGTGATCTTATCAAAAAACAAAAAAGAAGTCTTTTCTAAGGCTTGGTTGGAGTCTGCTTAGGTTTAGGTCACATGTATTAAAGGGTATTGTGAATGTATAACTTGTGTGGTAGAAGTTCCAGTTGAGTGTGGTGCATGTACCAAGTATTTTCTTGATATATAAATAGAATCTCTCATTGATCAAAACTTTTGTTAATTGTGTTAATTTATTTTTATTTTTATTTTTTTACCATTGTAGATACAAGCTGATCTTCACTATATTAAGGAAGACATTAGCTCTGTGGAGAAACAGAGATTGGAACTATATAGGTCTAAAGAACGGTACTCAGGGAAAATGAAAATGCTGGTTGATGACACTGTATCCACAAAATCACGGTCGTCATTGATCGACAAGCATGGAAATGGAATTAATTGTGGCACTCAACGGTCACAAGGCTGGATGAGTTCTGGGAATTCAGCCAACCCTAGAGCTGATGTAAAGATTCAATTAGGTTCCCAGGGACCACTTAGAAAAGATGCTTATTGTGGTTCAGATTTGCATTCTGTTGCGCAATCTGGACTAGCCGTGGCAAATAAAAGGCGGGTCCATACACAGGTAAAACTTTCATTTAAAGTATACCTCTATGGAAAAGCTATCATGATGGTTCAGTCTGGCTTCTTAATCAAACTCAAATTGGCATCTTTCTGTCAACAAAATCTCAGTAATCTGGAGATAGATTATTCGACCTCCTTAATGAATATTCTCCCAAAATTGTTATTTCTCGTTGGTTATTGTGAAGATTGTAGAGATCAGCTTCTTGGTTCTAGTGGTGTATACTTTTGAAAATATTATCACGAGTTCTTAACTAATTCTCTTACTAATCCAATCATTGAATGCCTTGATGCTACATTGTTTATGGCACCCTTTCAAAAGTTATGTGCATCTTTTAATTTTTTCCACTTCCTAAACTTGAATCTTCTTTTTGGTTGGATTTTTAAGGTAGGGCTCCTGGAAAAAGCTTTCTTTTAGGTTTTGTCCTATTTAAACTATTTTGCAGGTTTTGTGGATGTAACAGGATAGAAAAAATTAGGGAGTTGCTTTCATGTTGACAATGCTTGGAGCATAGTGCACATTTTACTATTTCTTTTTGTACTAGGGATGCCAAGTCTGTTGTTTCCGCTTCTGCTGAAAGTTTATATTGTTGGAGATTTTCTTGTACTGTTGATTCTTTTTAGTTGCTTAGCCTTTTTTTTAATATTTGTGTTCTGTTTTCATTTCAATTGTCCAATGGTGGCCAAACCTCCCCCAACAATGTGTATTGCTTCTGGTCAGGAGAAAAAGAAAGATTTGGGCCCTTAATTATTTTCTAAAAAAAGGAGAGGGACTAGGAAACGTCACCTAGAGCAAAGAGGAAATGAATGGGGAAACTATGTAACAAGTATACAATAAGAAAAGGGTGATCAATGGATTAGGACGAAGGAATTCTTTATAACTTGCTGAAGACTACTCCTTTTTATAATTCAACAGACTTCTATTTTGATGCAGCTCTACGTTATTTCCTTTTTCTTGCATTTTGTTATTGAGCCAAATTGATTTATTTATTTATTTTTGAAATTAGAAAATGTCTAGTTTTTCTGTGCTGATTAAATTCACGCAGCAATGCTATTATGTCAATTGATCTTTAGGTTTTTAAAAAATATATTTAAAAAAAAACATTGTTAATCAGAAATGGAGTGCCTACCTTACTGTTTGATACAATTATTGACATTTAGGACCTGTCTTTTCATATAGTTTAATGAACTGCAAGACTGCTATCTGCAAAAACGACGAAATTGGAGGAAGCAATTGTATAAACAAGAAGATAGAGATACAAAGTTCAACAGCGGAGAAAGTTACAATCCTGCTCTTGATGATTTTCAGTCTGTACTAACTTCATTTATGCGATATAGGTACAACTTTTATTTACTTATTTTAATTAATTGGCATTGGTTTCTCTTGTGAGTGTTGATTGCCCTAATTTATTTACTTCTGTCTTATGACATGGTCTAATGGATTAGCCGATTGAGAGTCATTGCGGAACTTCGACATGGTGATCTTTTTCATTCTGCAAATATTGTATCAAGGTGAGTGATTGTTGTTCACACTAATACATTGACATTAAACTCCTTTGGTTTGGGAGATTCTGCTGGAGTGATTCTTTTACAGGGTTTTTAATCATTCTTAAACTTAGTTTAATCTTTATACACTTTATTTATCATGGTATATTGAGCCTATGGATATTTGGTTTAATTCAAAAATAAGTTTAGTCAAACTTGAAGTTATTTTTTGCCCTAAGCTACCTCAAACCTTTTCCTCACAACTCAATAATGATGGACATGCAAGTGTCAAGGATCTTGGAATAATGAGATTCTTGTTATTCACTATTATTTTCGTGAATTACTTTGAACCTTCTTCCATCACCATCTCTATCCTTTTCTGAGATAAATGCATATTCATTTTCTTTAGGGTTTGTTTGAGTTGTTAAAATTCGGAAATGATAATCATGTCATTCTTGTTTCAGTATAGAGTTTGATCGTGATGACGAGTTCTTTGCAACTGCTGGTGTTTCCCGTTGCATCAAGGTTTTTGAGTTTAGCTCGGTAAGCATTTAATGGTTATTCGTTGAGAAGCCACAACGGTCTTACTTGCTAGAAAGACTTCATAAGAAAACTTGTCAATTGGATGTAGAAGATGGTGACACTGATTTCATGTCCAAAAATTTATTTCACACTTCAGAGAACTGTCGCAATTTGTTTGTCCTGTAAGTTAATATTCCCTTTCATTTGTTTGGTGAAACTTATATGTAAGAGTCAATCCATGGAACATTTGCATACAGATGTTATGAAAATGCCATCCCAAAAATCTTGGAATGGAAACTTATGCAAATTTTTTGAATTAATTGATGGAAGTTTAATACTCAGTGCACTTTAGCAAGGACACCTTGATTTGTACTAATCTTTTTAATATGTTTTGACTTGTTGGTTTTCAAATTTAATTTAATATTTTAGGACTTAATATTAATTTGGTCAATACTAGTGGATTGGATCATAGTATTAATTGATGTGGTTTGTTTATTATTTTTCTTGATATAAATCCTGAAACTTGTTTTATTAGTAAGTTAATAACAAGTAAAATATCAGAAAATTCATATTTGAATGTAGTGCTTAACTGAAAATTATTGGTTAATGCAACTTATATCTTTAAGTTTAAATTATTGTGGTTTTGCATTGATCATCTATGAGTGAAGGGCCTGACTGAACACAGTTCACAACAACACAAAATGTTTATGTTATAGCGAATGGCCACATGTTATACCTGTATCCCAATTTTGTTTTTATATGTATGTTTATAAATTATTGATAGTACTTCTTGTTTCCAGGTCGTAAATGAACCTACAGATGTTCACTTTCCTGCTGTGGAGATGTCCACACGGTCAAAACTTAGCTGCTTGAGCTGGAATAAATACACAAAAAGTCATATTGCTAGTAGTGATTATGAAGGAATAGTAACTGTTTGGGATGTAAATACACGTCAGGTGGTGGCCATTATCCATCAAAAGTTTTCTTAGCTTGTTGGTTGTCTCCATTATTTGGTCATGTTTCTCTTTTTTAACAGGCTCTTTTCCTTTTAGAGTGTTATGGAGTATGAAGAACATGAAAAACGAGCTTGGAGCGTTGATTTTTCACGTTCTGAACCTTCCATGCTTGTATCTGGCAGTGATGACTGTAAGGTATTTTACTGAAGAAAACACTCTTTTTGAGTTGGTGAAAATTATTGATCTTAGAAATTGGATTTGTGATTGATGGGCCATAAGTGAGGGTCAACCAGCAATTCCCTAATTTCTGTGATGCATAATTTTCAACCTTTTCAATGATTCACTTTATAGCAAAGAATATTTGACTCATCAACTGTGGCACTTGGAAGATGCTATCCTTTGTTGAGTCGTATCTGTTAATACACCGTTTAATTTTAGATCCATACTGAAACTGTCACAGGTAAACATGATTTGTAGAAATAGCCCAATACAATGGGGCATCACTCAGCTCTGGGTCTGATTAATAGTTTGGTCAGTTCTGGGTGGTCTTTTCTGAAACAAGTTACATTCTGCTTACTAACACCAATTTACAAAACTAGGTTCTGTTCAGTATGTTTTGTATGAGACTATCTCAGGTGCTTCTCTCCTTTAACAGGTCAAAATTTGGTGCACAAGACAAGAAAATAGTCTGTTCAACATTGACATGAAAGCAAATGTTTGCTCTGTCAAGTACAACCCAGGATCTAGCTTATATGTGGCTGTATGTCTATTTTTCTCTCTTAATACAAATATCATAAACACTGAACTGAAATTATCTTTGTTCGTTTCTGTGTGTATGATGATTCCTTTTAACCAAAGCTTTTCTGACAATCCTGATCAACCTTTGCTTGCACAGTTTAGCAAATCCTTCTCTCCCTAATACTTGAGTTTTTTCAGGTGGGTTCTGCAGATCATAATATCCACTATTACGACTTGAGAAATATCAGCCAACCTCTGCATGTTTTTAATGGCCATAAGAAAGCTGTTTCTTACGTGAAATTCTTGTCGAACAATGAACTCGCTTCTGCTTCGACTGACAGCACTCTGCGATTATGGGATGTAAAGGAAAATATGCCTGTGAGTCATCTTCTTGATATGTTGTCTATTGACATCCAAATTGAAGTTAAATCTTTATGAAAATTGTGCTCCTTTACCCCCTCTTCTTTTTGTCTCTCGTTAGTCTTTCTTGGCCTAGTATATTTTCTCTTGATTTAGTAGAATTACTAGTTGAGTTGAAATTCACCATCCTGGGCTGACTTTGAGGTTAACAAGTGCCAATGTAAATGGTAGGAGCTTGCAGGGAATGAGTTTAAACCACGTCGGTTACCTACTTATAATTTAATATCCTAAGARTTACCTTGGCAACTAAATATAGTATGGTCAGACACTTGTCCCATGAGAATAGTCAAGGTGTACGTTAGCTGGTCTGGACACTCACAACTTATTATAAAAAAACTAATTGAGTTCTAATTTGTCTTTGCTATTTTTTACCTGAAATATTGACTCGTAATCTTTGGGAATTTACACACCAGGTCTGAAAACCTAAACATAAAACCATGTGAAAAGTTGCTAGACTCAAATATTTTCAGGAAAACATGATGTGATTATTTGTGCATACTGGAACTAGGAATCCTGTCATTGTTATGGCTTAGACCCCTTTTTCCTCTCGCTCCCTCCCTCCTCTCAGATCTCTTTAAGTTTAAAACCGTTCATTTCTCTGATAAGAAAATTTAGAATGTACATTATGATGTGAAGTTGGCAATTGGGAGAACTAACATATATATTCATACTGGTTACCGTATATTCGCACTGATTCGTCTCTTTATTATTTCAGCTGTGTGTGTATCGAGGACACACGAACGAGAAGAATTTTGTGGGTCTAACAGTAAATAGTGAGTACATAGCATGTGGCAGTGAAACAAATGAAGTTTTCATTTATCACAAGGTTATCATTTCTTTCCTATCAACATCTTATATTGGCTGCTATATTTTCCTTGTGATAAAGACGATTGGTTGAGATCGACGGGATTTACTTGCAGGCAATATCGAAACCAATGGCTTGGCATAGGTTTAGTTCCTCAGATTTGGAAGATAATGATGAAGATGCAGGTTCATATTTCATAAGTGCTGTTTGTTGGAAGAGTGATAGCCCAACAATTTTAACAGCAAACAGCCAGGGAACTATCAAAGTGCTGGTTCTTGCACCCTGAATCGCAACATTAGAAATGTCTTGAGACAAAGAAAAATGAAAAAGCAGGTACTGAAGTTTCATGCCTTCAATCTGTGTATATGGTGAAATACCACTTCAAGTTATAATCAGCTCTTAAATTTGGTTTTCATTCAACATCTGTGAAAGGGTTGATTATGCAACACTAAGATTTTTTTCCCTTTTTTCTTTTCTTTCTTTTTTGGCATGGCTATATTTAGTGGGAATGGGCTATTTGTTGGAGAAATGTTCATACATAGTTTGGAAACTGCAAATGTTTGTATATTTTCACTGGACTTTTGATTGGGAGAGACAAATAGGGATATTTGTTAAAGACTTAAAAGTTATGTAAAGTCAATGAAGAAATTTGGATATTATCTTGCGTTTTTTTAGCATAGTTTCACGTTTAAGGTATCTATTCTTTTACGAGGTTGGAGGCTCAAAGTTCTACTTGCACTAGAAAAACAAAAAATCGGAATAGTTGGTTTTTCACCAACTCAATTTCGACCCCATTTTAAATAAAATTCTGTCTCAATACCCTATAAAAAGGTTTTAAATATTGAAATGAATAGAGTATGTCTCAACTTCATGCAAGTATTGATAGAAATATCAATAAGATTCTACATTCAGCATACATTTTTGAAAAAATCACTAAAATCGATATATTTGTAAAAAAGTATATATTTAAATTAGCAAATGAATGTTTTACATCATTTAAATTTTGGTCAATTGGTTTATTTTGATCCATATATTTTCGAAATGTTGATTTTGAATTTTGAATTTTAAATTTTGGTTCATTTTAATTTCTATATTTTCAAAATATTTATTTTTGAGCATGTACTTTTACAAAGTGGATGTCTTGATTTTATTTTTCATCTCATTTTTCTATCACAATTTCAATACGACATTACACTTAATATATTTCTTACAATATATTTACGAATTTATATTAAAGAGTTTCAGGAAATAATTTGTGTCATAATTTTACAAATAAGGAATAAAATGGTCAATTTTTTAAAAGTATAGACGTTTTGAACTTACAAAGACTAAAATAAATTAAAGTTGAAAATGTATTGACTAAAATAAACAGAATTAAAATGAGCCAAAATTGAAAATATAAAGGCCAAGATAATATTTTAACCAAAAGTTAAAAAAAATTTATTATTAATATTTTAACCGTTGATATTTTTACGTCATAATAGAAATATTGATTCACTTTTTTTATATATATAAGACATATGAAAAATTTAGATAGAAATATCCACATGTCACCGAAAATAAATACCTCAACCGTAAGAATTGATGGGACAAAGTCAATCTAACCATAATTCAAAGTAGATGGTTCGATCACCAACCCATGATTTATAAAATTAAAAAAAAAAAAACTGATGAAACCATCAAGATTGTGAGTGGGTGTTGGATCCAACGGTCAGGAGAAATATAAGGAGTAGGACCCACATTTCGATTGTTAAACCTCGGCTGTAGTGGAACTTGATCCTGTTCCTTGTGTATCTAGGGTTTTCGGTCACTGAACTTTCGCCGATGATTTTCTCTCATACGGACGCGTGACCTGACCTCGCTGTCTAACTTAATTTTCGACGATTCATCTCCGATTCGCTTCCTTGGGCATCTCAAGGAATTCAAGTTTCTCTACTTTGAGATTCTGGTTTTGTAAGTTTGCTGCCTCCTCCTACGAAAAATCTTGCAATTTCCGATTTCTGTATTGTGATTTTCATTTTCTTTCTAAATTGTAATTTCTGTGGTTTGGCATTTGAATCTTCCGTGTGTGGGGAAGTGGGAAGGGGGGTTGTATTTTCACTTTTATATTTATGGGGAAATCCGGGACTCGGAAGAAGAAGGGCGGTTCTAATCATGCTTCTTCGGGTGTTAATTCAACTCCAAATGCTAATGGGGGTGTTGATTTGGATTCTTCCATCTTTCTGAAAAGAGCCCATGAGTTGAAAGAAGAGGGGAATGTAAGGTTTCAGAATAAGGATTATGTTGGTGCTCTTGAGCAGTATGAAAGTGCACTGCGTCTTACCCCCAAAACCCACCCTGATCGAGCTGTGTTTCATAGCAATAGAGCCGCTTGTTTGATGCAAACGAAGCCAATTGATTATGATGCTGTTATTGCCGAGTGTACCATGGCCCTCCAGGTCCAGCCCCGATTTGTTCGCGCTCTCCTTCGGAGGGCTCGTGCATTTGAGGCCATTGGGAAGTATGAAATGGCTATTCTGGACGTGCAGGCCTTGTTGGTTGCCGATCCTAACCACCGAGATGCTCTTGAGATTGCCCAGC